AGTCCAAATACACTTTGTTATCTCTTCCAGAAAATAAAACCTCGATTTTTCAACAGTTCCCACACATAAGGCTAGCAAGGTGTTTATTATCAAGGAAAAAGCCAACCCATGACGTTTCCAGCATTGCTTTCAGAACAATAAGATTTCTCTACAAGGACCTTTTGCTTTCCCCTCCACCACTCCACAATCAGTCTCAGTGGCATGCACATCTGAGCACCCAGTTGGTATCTGGAGCTTTCCTACTCACCAAGGTAGCTGTGGGTGCAGGTCATGGCTCTCCTGAACATTTTCCTGCAGGCCTCCTTGACGTCCCTGTTCCGCAGGCTGTAGATGAGGGGATTGACTAGGGGCGTGAGGATGGTGTAGAAAAAGGAGAACACTTTGTTGAGCTGCCTCAGTGAGGCTCTTCTAGGCAGCATGTAGACAAGGATGATGGTGCCATAGAAAATGGTGACAAGAGTGAGATGAGAGGAGCAGGTGGAGAAGGCCTTCTGCCTGCCTGTGCTGGATGGGATCCTCAGGACGGCAGCTATGATGCACACATAGGAGACCAGTGTGAACAGGAAGGGAAAAACTGCATCCAAGATACCAAAGATGAAAGAAACAATTGTGACTGCTCTGGTGTCACTGCAGGCAAGCTCCAGCAATGGGGTGAAATCACAGAAGAAGTGGTCAATTGCCTTGGGGCCACAGAACTGCAACTGGGATAAGAAGATTGTGACAACCACCAGCAGCAGTGAACCCCACAGCCAAGATGCAACTGCCAGGCGTAAAGAGACCTTCCAGGTCATGAGGCTTGCATAGAGCAAAGGCTGGCATATGGCCAGGGACCGATCGTAGGACATGGCTGCCAGCAGGTAACACTCAGTAGTCGCAAAGGAAGCAAAGAAGTAGAACTGAGCCATGCAGCCACGTGCAGAGATGCTGCTGTCCCCCGTCACAAAGCTGGCCAGCAGCCGTGGCAGGATGGTGGAGCTGTAGCAGGCCTCCAAAGAGGACAGATTGCCCAGGAAGAAGTACATGGGGGTGTGCAGATGCTGGTCTGCCACCACCAGCACGATTACGAGGATGTTCCCAACCATGGTGACTGAGTAGATCATAAGCAAGAGGAGAAAGAGTGGTTTCTGGAGCGTGGGGACATCATGTATTCCCAGCAGCACAAAAGCTGTAGATGATGTCCCATTGCCATCTTCCCCTTCGGCCATGCGGTGTTGTTTGTCTTTTATTTCTTCAGTTGCCACAAAGAGGGTCTACGAGAAAGAAACACATTTCAGTGTTTACCTTCAACATTTTTTTTGTGCAGGACATCTTTCTCTTCACATGAGCTTTATGTGTTTTGCGCCTAGTGAAAGCAGAAAATAAATGTCCTTCCTAATGCGTAAAGAACACTCATCCCAGCAGACCCACCACAGACTCTAGAGGTGAGCTGCCCAACAGAAATTCTTCTTTCTCACTGTGGAATAAATCTATGATATGCATTTGCTCACACAGAATTCACATGCCTGTGGGTACGCCCTGGAAGACATGTTATGTGTCTTGACGATCAGAAAAGCCCGTTGTGTGAGATGTGCTAGGCACCATCCTTCCTCCAAAGCAAGGGCTGGGCACATCGCAAGCTGAGGAACACTCACACGAGAAAGAAAGGTTTTCTATCCCACTGCTTCCCACCACCCCACAGGCCAATTTCTTCCTTTGAGAAAAGGCAGAGCGGGAGTTACTGCTTCAGAGGACCAAGGGACTGTGCTGTGGGACTGCCAGAGAGCATGCTAAAAATCACATTGTGGGTCAAAATGTAGCATAAAAAGTGGCAAGGAGGTGATCAAAAAAAGATTGGGAAGGGATAACTGGGAGTCAACTGAGCCACATGGGAGAGATCGTGCAGGGAAAAGCATGGGAGGAAGAAAGGAGAAAAAACCACTCTTTTCAGTGGTGCATTCCATTTAAAGGTACGGTGGACAAACAACTGCAATGGGTTCCCTGTAAAGGTAATGGAGGCTCCATCCTTGTGGATATTAAAACTCAACTGGACATGGTCCTGAGCCACCTGCTCTACCTGACCCTGCTTTTAGGACCAGATGATATCCTGAGGAGGCTTCCAAGCACAGCTACGCTGTGGTGCAAAGCTGCTGGGCAGAACCATTTGCTTCATGTCTTTTCCTCCTCAGCAGTGGTTCCTGATGGTTTTGGGACTGCCTCCTTGCAAATCCCAGCCCAGAGGCAGGACCTCACCATGGCCAGCTGCATCTGTGGGGCTCCCTGAGAAAGTGGGGTACTGAGAAGGCTGTCCCCAGTGTGCCTGGGGGGTGAGGTGGTACCGGATCGGGGTCAGGGACATAGGCAATGCCAGGACATGCCTCAGCACATGGTTGAAGAAATCTCATGACCAAAACCACAGATCTTTGCAACAGCCATTCCCTCCAAGGGTATGAAACCCCCCTCCTGGGCTGGTAGGCATGTCCTCCAGAGGTGACACTCACAGGAACCATTCTGAGAGTTTGCCAAAAGCTACTCAGGCTTACTCATACCCCCAGGCCTCTCCACTGTATGTGGCTGAGAAAGCTGAGAGTTGGAGAACGAACCTGACATGATCATAGGTCTGAGAGAGTGAGGAAACTGACACCACCACCAAAAACAATAAGATGAACAACTAGGACAAAAGACAGCTGAAATATCCCTGTGAGAGATGAAGTGAAGGGCACAGGCAGTGTGGTCCCGCACAGCCTGCCAAAATGCTTCACCCACCCAGCCAAGGTGGGAGAGTGTCCCAGGGCTGTCCCTGGGATCTCTGCTGTGCGGTGCCAGGGGCTCAGGGAAGGCAGGAGCTGGGGTGGGAAGACATGCAGAACAGGACAAGGCCGAGACTCAGGTCTCTATGCTCTCATTTCTCTTGTTCAAAGACCCAGCAGATTGCCTAGTAACACCCAGACTTCACCCACCCTTAGCACATCCACCACAAACCTGCAGTCCTTGTCATGAAGGGGGTGACATCTGCTCTGATGATGAGTCTCCAGCAGCACCTGAAGAGTCCCTGTTTGCTGAAGGGTCCCAGGGTTTATAGCAGAAAGGAGACTAAAGGATCCTCCTGCAGCACGTCCCTCCTGAGGCTTTGCAGAGACTAAGAACAACATAATTGCCTCCCTGGAGGGGCGGAAGCTCTGAGGTGGTGGAGTCTCTGTCAACAGCTCCAGGCAGTGCTGAACCCCAGAAACATGATGTAAACTGAGGCAAGGCAACTGAACCAGGGACATCTCTGCATCTTGTGAGCAGGACAAGAGATTCCCCAGAAATGGGATTCACCTCACTTCCCTTCAGATGAAAGCACCTGTGTCAGCTCCCATAGAATGAGGAAGCCTCAGACCTTCTGGGGTGGAGGGGCCTGGCTTCTTTGGAGCTGAAGTCAGCAAAGCAGCCAGTATGTCCTTCCAGAGAGGATTCCTCTCTCCTCAGGGAAGGTGAACAGGGGCCTCATTTTCTCCTTAACTAGCCAAGGGGAACCAGTGGACATGACTCCTTCCAGTCCTAATGGACTTCACTGTGGGAGAACCATCTCCTCTGCCTCTGCCCAGGCTGGAAAGGCAGGAGGAGGAGGCCCAGTGGGCACAGACATTTGTGCTGTTGCTCTTGTGAACAAGAGATGTGAATCACAGTTTATCTTGGGAGCCTCACACTGAAATGTAAAGTGCTGGGGGTCCAAGCCCAAGCTGGACAGAGGCACTCCTCATCCTGTTGGCGATGGGCAAGGAAGTGGGGGAACTCTTTTCCAGCACAATTCATGTCCTTTCTTTGAACACTGAATCCTTTTGGTACGTTTCTGCGCTCCATGCAGATGTTGCAGATACCCAAAGACATCAGCACTGGCCCCAGGAACCCATGCCCAGGCTATCCCCCCCCATTTCTGTTTGTTGACTCCCATCTGTATGGCGTTTCCCTTCCAGCTGGACCCCACCCTTCCCATCCAATCCTCACTGCTTTGGCAATTGGGCTGTACAGGTTGCACTCAGGCCATTGTGCCTGGTGACAATGGAGACAAGGTCCTGTCCTGCTCATGCCTCCCCCTTGGCTCTCTCATCTGGAGGAAAGCCCACCTGATGAGCTACAGGTCTGAGAAACTGGCATCTGCTCCCACCAAGCAAACCAGGTTCTTTGCCAGGAACACTGTAAGGAACCGAAGGAGTTAATGCCCCAATCATTCATCGACACAGAAAACTTTGACAAGCTGTGGCCTTTGTGGTTAGTCTAAGGAATGCTGCCCAAGGAAGCGGGGAGAATACTAAAGGGTGCACAGCTCCACTCCCTCGCGGTTGTATTGCCAACTTCCTTAGATAAGCCTCAAAGGAGGGAAACGTGGACTGAGTGAAACCATATGCTCAATTTAAAAGATTGATAAGAGAGAGAAATGACCAGCATCAGATGGACCTAAGCAAAAACTAAGGGGAGGGGTGGAGGGGTGTGGTGTGGTGTGCAAGCATGACTCAATTGGACAAGGGGGTTGGTGCATCCCATCCCCCCTCAACTCATGTGCAGAACCCATGACCCACCTTTTCCTTGTCTCTCATGGAAATGAGTTTGTGGAATTCCTGCCTCTCTTGGAATAGTATGCTAATCATCTGATAAGAAGAACTTAAAAGGAGAAAGAAAACTTTGCTCAGGGTGCACCCACCAGCCAAGATTACCAGACCCAAGGCAATGCTGGAACCTGGGGTGGTGAACTGGGCTCTTCCTCTCCTTTCCTTTTCTTTTACTTCCTACCTTTTCTTTTTTATATATTTATCAATAAGAAGCCACATTCTTTACTATCCTTTCCCAAGTTTTAGTTGTTTCTACCACAAGCAAAACATTTCAACTGGTTATTTGGTGTCATTTCACCTTCATTTAACCTGAGGGAATCACAGAAACTTTAAGAATCCCTGGACTCCCAGTCTTGGTCATTACAAACACTCTGACCATGTGATGTATGGGAAGGAGGAAAAGTTTTATGTAATCACATCTGTGATTTTGATTTAAGGTACTAATTTTGATTAAGGTACTCATTTAAGGTGTCACTTATAATCTTTGAAGGTATGAATATTCTTTGGTTTGTTATATAAAAAATATAGGATGTTCTTCAAATACTAAAAATATATAGAAATATTTTTATATCCTTGGCCTGTTATAGCAAAGAATATATTTATACGTACATGCATACCTATAAATAAGGAATATACATAGCCTATGTTATTTTTTTTTTATGTTTCTAGTCTCTGAATACTAACTGCCATTACTGCAGGCATCCCCAACTGTCAGGAGGAAATACATGGACTGACACCAGCTCCGATCTTCACACTCTTTCAACTGCCAACAATAGGATATTTGCCTATTCTGGCACTGTTGAGGGAAGAGGATCAGGCTGAAGACATACTGAAGTTTTCAGGGTTTGATGATGTCCTGGGTTTGAGTGAGGGGTGGGTTTTTTTTTGTAGCAGGGGAGGGGGCTATTGGGGTGGCCCCCTGTGAGAAGCTTCTCGAAGCTCCCCCAGCTCCAAGTCAGCTCCACTTCTGTTTGGGAAATTGAGCCAATCAGCTGCGCCTCTGCAATAATGTATTTAAGAAGGGACGTGGTGACGGGCAGTGGGACTTGTGAGGAGGAGTTGCTGCAGCTGCATGAACACCAAGGTCAGTGGAGGAATGGAGGAAGAAAGGAGGGGGGAGGTGTGCCGGAGCAGAGACCCCCTGTATCCTGTGGTGAGACGGCAGGGCAGTCCCCCCTGCCACCCATGGAGATCTACGGTTGAGCAGACACTGATTTATGGCCTGTTTTTTTGTCTGAATGATCAAGGTGCTGTGCCTGAAGAACGCTGGGGTCTTTTTGGAAAAGGTAGCCCCGCTGTTGTGGTTGTGGGAGATGTTCATGAAGACTGGAAGACAGGAAATGTCACTCCTATCTTCACGGAATGCTTAAAGGAAGACCCAGACTCACCTCCATCCCTGGAAAGTGATGGAGAAAATCCTCCTGGAAAGCATTTGCAGCCATTTGAAGGACAAGAAGGTGATTTGGAGGAGCCCTCCAGGATGAGATGACTAGCTTCCTAGGCTAGGGGAGAGCAGTGTATATTGTTGATCTTGACTTCAGTAAGGTCTTTGACCCGTCTCCCATAAATCCCCACAGACGAGCTGACAAAGTACAGGTTACAGAAGTAGACAGTGCAGGGGTTGAAAACTGGCTGAA